AAAAAAAAAAAAAAAACAAAAAATTCTTTTTGGTGTTTATGAAGGTTTGTATTTTCATTCTATAGGTTATCTTTCCATTATTACTTTTTAAGTGCTTACTGTCTCCTCTATTTTTACCTAATTTTTATGTGATATCAGTTTTAAATATTTGTTGACTGCTACCCTTTGCTTATATAAGAAAACGAGGTATTCTGTATTCCTTTTTTCTTTCTTATCCTCCCATCAAAAAATTTACATCTTTTGACTTTTGTTAACACATTTAATGTTGACGTGTTAGTTTTTTCATCCATGCACTGACTCATTTTAGTCTCACCTGTACAATAAAATATATGAAGCATTTGGAAATATTTTTCAATGTTATTTCAGGCATTTTTTAGTTGGATAAAACTCATCCTATCTGAAGGTCTTCAGGAATACCACATGTGTGTAGTATTCCCTTAGTGCTTGTATATCCCAAACTGTTTGCTATGGCCTTGATATTTTAAAAGTCAGGTTGGCTGTATACAACATTTTTATATACTTTCTTTCTTTCCTTTAATGTTGAAAATGTTGTTCCACTATTGCCTTACTTTGCATGTTGTTTTGAGAAACCTGATGCTGGTCTAATTCTATTGCCTTCGTAAGTTACTTAATCTTTTTACTTGGAGGCATTGTGCATTTATTTTTCTCTAAAGTCTAATAATTTTACTAGAATATATTGTAGAGTAATCTTTCCAGGTCAGATTTCCCCAGTACCTATATTAGATTCAGGTCTTGTTTTAACTTTAGAAAGTTTTCTTGGATTATAGTTCTAAGTATTAGTGCTGTTCAGTTATTTTGATTGATTTCTTTAAGAAACTCTTTTACTTCTTGATTATACTTTCACTTTCCTAGTTGCTTTTCTTGTTTTTTCATTGCTTTTTCACTTGATTATATTCTTCCTAGGGCAACTTGTAATTTAGTTTTCATTTCTGATAGGATTTTGTCTCTTCCTTCTTTCCTAAGTTTTATCAACTCTCATTTCAGTTTTTCCTGATTTTTTTTGGGGGGGTATCAATATCTATTATTATTATTTTTTAAGCTTCTGATTTGAGATGTGTTTTTCTTAGCCTGAAATGCTTATTTGAGGATATTCCCTTGAGTATGGAGTGTGACATTACAGTTTTCTTAAGCTTTTTGGTTACATTGTTTTGGAAAGTTTTCATCAGGAGGAAAACTTTCATTGATATCAATCTGATTTTTTCAGTTATTTTATAATGATGGAGATAGAATTTTTGTTCTATTCTTTTTTATTTCACAGAAAAAGTTCTTAGTTCAAGAGCACTCTCTTCTGTGCAGTTTATTTAATGGATCTTGTTTTGATGGTCATAGGGTAGGGTGGGTGGATTAGTAAGTTGTGTTCCGCTTTCATTTCTATAAGATCCTTAATTTTCCCTTCTTATTTCCTTCTTTCCCATCATTGCCTAGTCTCCAAGGAATTCTATCCATTCTCTATTTATCTGGTTCTTCCTCAGAAACAATGATTCTTCAAGGCTGCCACTTCTGATTGCATTCATACCTTGAAGTCTCTTTTTTGTAGCTAGTGCTAAGAATCACCAAGTCCTGACCTATGTCCAGTATTTTGGCACTTATTGTTACATTTTCTCTTTCTGGGGTTGATTTTGTTTGTTCTTCATCTCATTCATGGTTTCTCTCTATTCTTTATTTCAGAATTGTTCAAGCCTTGCCTCCTCTGTTCTCTGTAATCCAGGTTTCAGTACAGGCAAGCTGCAGGAGTTTTGTTGGAATTATTCTTTTTCTTACTTTATTTATACATACTTTAAAGGCTGTGGTGTTTTATGTCACATAGTCATATTCAAAATATGGGTCCTGCATGGTTCTATTTGCTTTCTTTGTTGATTTTATGTTTTCTAGGGGGACTGTGTGAGGGAGATTCAAAATCAGGTGATCACTGTTGATCTCTAACAAAGTTCTCTTATTTATATTTTATTTGTCATTTGGGTTTTCATTTTATGATAATGTCATATATTTGTTTTATAGTAAGCTACCTCAAATTCTTTGAAGAATAATGCAAAGTGAAAATAAATATTTACTTTTTATTATTAACAAATAAATGTAAAAAATGCTCTGCCTTGATGGCTTTTTTGTTCTTTAGTAAAATGAAGTATGAGTAACAAAAGAAAAAAGAGAAAGAAAAAAGGGGAAATGAAAGAAAAGAAAACATAATGGAAAAGTAAGGAGATTGGTTATTTTGGTCTATGGATATCTTTCTTTCAAAGCAATTTCAAAGAGATTTTAACATTGTTTTGAGCAATAGTAGCAAGACTTTAGCATAGGTAAAGCCTCCAAAAGTGATTGCTTTTAAGATCTATGCTATTTTGTATTATATAATATGTATCAGGAAGCTCTGCGATATTATTAAGAACCACTGCTTTATAATTATACCTCATATGTTCACACACACACACACACACACGTGACACATGAGCACACATATACACAATACATATACTTACTTGCTTCACATTCTGGAGCTCTTCTGTCAATTGTTTCCTTTGCTTATCTGATTCCAATAATTTTTCCTATATTTAAAAAACCACCAAATTAACAACTTGTTATGAAACTATCAACAAGTATGACTTATTAGTTCCTTGTTTCAAAGCTTATATTCCCCAAATATCAAATTGCTACAATCTGAAAATGTTGCTTCTAGTCATTTTTCCAGCTTTACATGGGGCACTTAAAAGTAATTAGTTATTTACAGTAAATTGTGATGTAAATATACTTTTTATTACCTTAATTTTGCATAATCTCAAAATGTAAGCTCAAACGGAAGCCAGTTAAGAGTACAAATGTGTAAATATTAACTGGATTTTGGTTAAGCTATCATTGCCAAAGAGATACCAAATTGAAGAGCATTATTATTACAAATTAGAATTAAAGGTCTTCGACCATACTAAAGAGGGCATATGATGAGACTGGCTCATCTCTTAATTTCCTAATTTAATTTTAGCTTATTCTTGGAAGATTATCCATGAAAAGACAGATATGACTAATGTAACCAAAATATAAAATAATAGTTATTAAGATTAACATTATGCATACAAATAAAATACCTTTGGATTTGAAATTAAGTGAAGTATATACCCTACAATGTCCAATTTTGTTAATTGTATCTTAAATAAATCCACATTTTATTGGTCAAATCAGAAATACTAAGAGTAATTTAAGAGCCATTAAATACAAACCTGAACAGAGGAATTGCTTGAACATTAAATTGAGTGGTAAAGATTCATGGCAATATTGCAATGTTTATAAGAGGCAATATCCTTTCTGGTATATTTCAGCTTATTCTTGTCTAAGAGGTGAAATGAAGGTATATGAAAATGAATGTAATATAGCAATCTAATGAATATGCCACAGGAGCCAAGAGACTGCTGGCTCCTGTGATTTTATGTTCTGGCAAGTCACCTTCACTCTTGGTGCCCTAGTTTTTTTTGTATCTGTAAATGGAAAATATATCTATTTTCCATTCACCTTTGCAAAGCAGTAGCAATGTGAATTCTGCAGAAAGGCTTCCTTAAATAAAGCCTACAACACTTTTAAAAATTATTCTTGCAAGATAAAAATTAGCTACTGACATAAAATTATCTTGGTTTCATTTTTATTTGTAGTCATATTAGACATGAAGAATAGAGATGTCACAGGATAATGGAAAGTGATGAGACACCATCTAAATGCTTTATGAACTTCATTTAACAACCTCTGCTTTCATATGAATGTATAATACAAGTAAAAAAATTGAAGACAAAAACATTACCTTTAACAAAATATTTACTGCTGCGTACACTACTTTACATGGCTTCTTTAACTGGCCAGCTAATAGATAGGTTTTGAGGTAAAAGTAATTATAACATGTAAAATTTGCTTTATCTGGAATTTTTGCACCATATTCTAACCAACTGAGCTAGCTGGTTGCCAGCTTATCTGGGAGTTTAGGTTTTGTCATATTAGGGTATACTCAATTACATTTCATGAACTTTAAAGGCAAATCCTAATTTATTGAATGACTCCTCAGGAAAGTCTTATTTAAATGTTAAATTAATATGGCATAGACACTTTCAAATTAACATTCTAATAATTACTATTGATATTAAAATAAAAAGAAATATATCATATCACTAAATTTAACAATGATAAACTATAAGGAAATGAAAAAGATCTGAGAGCCTCTGAAAATTCTGATAAACCACAAGTCTAATGGTTTAGGCAGAGATAAGAGAATACATAAAAAGTTATCTTATTAAGGTAACCAACATTGGGGAAGTTTTCTAAGAGAATATAAGGAACCATTGTCAATGTATTTTTAAAACTAAATTTTTATTTTCCAGCAAAACAATTGTTAAACTAAAAAATGTGGAATGATAGTGGTTTCAAAGGTAAGAAAATAAATATATAAAATACTATTAGAGTAGTGAAATCCTCATATACTTTAGGAAGGAATGTGAATTGGCAAAACCTTTTCAAAGGGAATATGGTAACATATGCAAAATTTTAAGTGTCTATAATTTTTAATAAAGCAATTATATTTTCAGACATTTATTCTGTGTATATACTGTACAAATGCCCATAGATACATCTACAAAGCTGCTGAAGATGAAATTATTTTTAAAAACTGGAAATAGTCTAATGTCTATCAATAGGGAACTGGCTAAATAACCATTTAATTTATAGGAGAGTTATCGAGAAGAATTTGGTATATCTGTGTATATTAACCTGAAAAGCTGCCTGAGATATAATTCTTATAAAGAGAGAGAGAGAGAAAAAAAAAAAAGACGGCAAGTTATAAAAAAAAGTGTGGATGAATGAAGTGACTTACATAGAAGTGAAAATACACACATACTGGAAAAAATTTTCTTAAGGCTTTATTATTTTTTGAAGCAGTTTTGGATTCATAGCAAAATTGAGAGGAAAGTACAGAAATTTCTCACATACTCCCTGTCCCCACATATACATATATTTATTTATTTATTTTTGTTTTTCTGTTTTAAATAGTAGAGATGGGGTCCTGCTATGTTGCCCAGGCTGATATTAAACTCCTGAGCTCAAGTAATCCTCCTGCCTCAGCCTCCCAAAGTACTGCGATTACAGGTGTGAGCCATCATGCCCTGCCTATTTTTTAAAAATATAATTTTCTGTGTAGAGAAAAATCTATGAAAAGATAAATAATATATTTGCAACAATGGCTTTCTCTAGAGGTTGGAATTATAAAAACTAAGATAGCAAAAAAAATTTTCTTTCTTTTTGGTGTAAATATTTTATATTTAATAAAAAATAATTGTCAATATACTATACCTTATTTAATAAAATAATTTAAAAAATATGTTCCTATGGTGAATTAGTGGTAAATCAAGTGGTTATGTTGCTTTTCCTGAAGATTTGGAAAATATAGCTTTCTGTAAAAATTAGGATATAATTTAAATGTAATATTCCTCTAAAAACAGAATGAAACCATATAAAGACAATCAAGGCTAGACATGGTGGCTCACACCTGTAATCCCAGTACTTTGAGAGGCCGAGGCAGGTGGGTCATTTGAGCCCAGGTGTTTGAGATCAGTCTGAACAAAACAGTGAGACACCATCTCTACAAAATAAAAATTAAAAAAAAAAAAAAAATAGCTGAGCATGGTGGCATGGACATGTTGTCCCAGCTACTTGGGAGGTTGAGGTGGGAGAATCACCTGAACCCAGGAGGTTGAGGCTACAGTGAGACGTGATTGTAGCATTGCACTCCAGCCTGGGCGACAGAGTGAGACCCTGTCTCAAAAACACAAAACAAAAAACCAAACAAACAAACAAACAAAAAAGAAGTAAAATGTTACAGTATATTTGGGATATGTGTGTTTTTTCCTCTCTTACATAATATTGTCTTAATTCCAAGTTACGTTAGCAAAACATGATGTCCCTTAAGAATAGCCCTGCACATGAAAAAAAATGTATTTCCCAAAGAACTCACAGGATCCAAAACTGCCACGACTTGCTTTATTGGCTCTTCATCTAATTCTGCCCTGGCCACCAATGAGAGAGAATAAAAAGGGTAAGAAAGAACCTGAACAGAAGACATGAGCAAAAACCATTGTTCACACTAAATGTTGTACAGATAATGTGAAATATAAGTATGTAGACCAAAAAATTAATTCTCTAAAGGCTAACTGAATAAAGAATCTGATTTTTACTATTTGATATTAATATTTTTCCATTAAAAATAAAGTTAAGCCCCAATACTTCAGAATCCAATATAGGATATTTTTCTTTTTCTTTTTTTTCTGAAGAAAACATAAGGAAACTAAATTAGAGGTTACCTTAAGTGTATTTACTTCTTTAAAGGCATCATCTCTTTCACGCTTGAGCCTTTCCATTTCATCTGCTTCTAAAGAATCACAAGGAAGAAGCTGTCAACATTAAAATATAAGAGAAAAGTTGTGCATTAGATGCTAATTATGAGAGGTAACATAAAAATCCTTTTTGACTAGTCTTAGGCTTTTGTATTCTAATAACAAAATTCAGTTTCTTACGTTGGAGTCATTTGATTAGATAAAAGGGAATATTAAAGTATTAAAGCAATTTCACTCATTTAGGCTTAACTTTACATTGTTGTTACTTATAATAGAATTTTGATTTTGTTGTCACCTTTATCATTATTTTAACAATATAATTTTCCTTAAAATTCCAAATTCGAAGACTGTGTTTATAATGTCAAAAAGACTTCAGGAATTACCAACATAAACGATTCCCTAAATATATTCATTCTAATAGCATGGTATCTAAGGCTAACAAAATGCTGTACATTATAAATCAGATGGTTTACATGAGCCTAGTAAAGTATATTTATCAATTATGTATCTGGTTTTAACTAAGTGAAATGTAATGCAACAGACAAGTGGCTTAAAAAGATTCCTGCACAGAAATTGTAGATTGAAGATAATATTAATAATTTATGCACAAGTGAATAACAACAACAAAAAATAGCAGAGATGACCAGTTCTCTTATATCTAGCATGATGTCTTTGACCATCAATTATAATGTAAAAAACAACGACAGTCTAATCAGAGATAAAAATCCAAGTTTACAGCCATCTCCTATGTGGAAGCTATAACAACGAAAGAAAATAGAATTTAAAGGATTAAGTGGAGAAAGCGGTTGTTATGTAAGCATGGGCTTAAAGCAGGGCCCTTTAGATAGGTGAAGCGAATGTGGAGTAGAAAAAAAAAATAAAAATAATTAATAATATCAATCACTTACTGGAAACTTATATGTGCAGATGTATTACTAAGGACTGTATATATTCAATATCAATCACCTTGTCTCCATTTTACAGATGAAGAAACAAGCTCAGAAATGTTAATAACTTGCCTAAGGTTTCACAGCTAACAAATGGCCATTCCAAGAGTTCCACAAATCATAGTCTCTGATTTTTACTAAAGATTCAACAAAAAACATGGTGGAATAGATGTAATAAACTCATATTTGCTTTCCAAACTCTAGAATAACAAAAGTAGGAGTTATTCTTCCTATTTGGGGAGAATTTATTTCCCTGAACATCACTGGTTCTTTTTGGTCTGTCACATTAGCTTTTGGGTATCTATGGACATTGCCAATAATTTATATGATCTACATTCTTCATGGTTCTGTTACTCTGCTCTCTCAGAAGTACTCAACACACATACTCATAAGAATTCATTCCTAATTGTTAGAATAATTTTGAACACATTTTAAAATGTAATAATATTTCCCAGAGTGTGTTCCAAAGGATATTAACAGGCTTTGTGTAAAAGCAAAATTGAGTGGTAGTGATGGTGGTAGTTGTCAATTATTTAGAAAAAATTAATCTTACTTCCTGCATGGCGTCCAACAGCCTTAATATGCCAATGAGCATTTGAATTGCCAAAAAAAAAAAAAAAGTATAATAACTTGTCATGTTTCCTCAGTAATTTCACCATACTACAAACCCCTAACCTCTTCACCCTGTTGCCTTCATTTATTTATTTTTATACTAGCTCATGGAACTAAAGTATACAAAACACAATCTGGAAAACTCAGTGTTGCTACTCAGCATTCATATGGCCTATTCCATTTTTTCATTCTAAGAAGTGAAATAAGGAGGATTCAAAAGTTTAAATAAGGCTGGGTGCAGTGACCCAGGTCTGTAATAGCACACTGGGAGGCTGAGGCTGGAGGATTGCTTGAGTCCAGGGTTGAGATCAGCCTGGGCAACATAATGAGACCTTGTCTCTACAAAAAGTAAACGAAATTAGCCAGACATGGCGGGGCACTCCTGTAGTTCCAGCTATTCAGGAAACTGAGGTGGGCGGGAGGTCAAGGCTGCAGTGAGCTGAGATTGCACCACTGCACTCCAGTCTGATGACACGATGAGACCATGTCTTTAAAAAAAAAAAAAAAAAGTCTAACATTTTAGATACCAGAGCTAAAATAATTTATTAAGAGAAATTATAGATTGGAATTTTAGGGATGTGATAATAAACTTTAGAACTTAACATCATGGAGGTAAATCATGCATAAAAGAATCCATGGTACTATTTCGAGAGGCAAAGCCTAAATAGTCATAGAACAAACTATGAATTAAAAAAATGTTTTATGATCCCACTGCTATTTTGGACTGTGCAGCAAAAACTTGCAGTCAGAGAATTGGCCATGAATGTTCCTTGTGAATTCTTTGAAAAGCCCCTTTGTGTTCAATGACTTCTTTTATACAGTTCCATTCAAATATACTTCAGCTAAGGAAGCAGCAAATGAATTGTTGTTACTTAACAGCAACAATTCCAGACAGATGCCTGTTTTCAAAATCTATCACTAACTACTGAAATTTATATTCCTTAACCTTCCACATCTGTTTTCTGTCTGGTTCTCACAATATCATTTGTGATCCTTGGATCCCTTGAACTTTGCAACAGCTGGTAAATAACATTGTAAATCATTTCTACTCTGCTTTCTAGAATCTCCTTCTGGAGATGTCAAGAAATACATACTATAGGTCATTGGACTGTGCTGATTAGGTCTGACTTCACTTTTACTGTTGCTGCTCCATCATATTTTAAATTACTTGACTTGTATCAATTCTGGATAACTGCTATTCTGTTGGCCATATTCCCTAATCTCAATTCATTTTAAACAGAAACAGTTACAGAACAGTTAACTTCAGTGTCAGTCTAATTTTATTGATAAGGCCTTCCATTAGAGACCTATTCAATTACCTCCTTTCCTTATAAAAGTGTGTGTGACTTTACTATCCTATTCACCTAAAAATTTCTGGGTATCTTCTTTTCTCCTTCCATTTCCCTGCTCATTCCTTTCACTTCTTATAATCTGGCTTATACATCTTTCCTCTCATTCCCATATTTCTAAAATGATTACTTCCAATTTCACCAATAACACTGCCATGTGACAAAGAAAATGACCCCAACCAACTTTCTTCTTTGTTATATATAACAGTATTGAAGGCTTTTTTCCTTGAAATTTTATCTTCTTTAGATTGTGATATCCTAACATCTCACCCAGCCTTCTGCACATTTAGGCTATTCCCAATGAGTTACTTTCATGTCTACTCCTTAAATGGAGAAAGGGGGTTTGGGAGGTTCCCCAAAGTTTGTTCCTTTTCTCCTTTTTCCCTACAAGTTCTGAGTGAGCACATTCACTATTATGCTTCAACTATCACTCTCCAAAATATCCCCAAATTCCTTCCCAGTGTCTACTTCCTAATTTCCAGTGGCCTTTGGTTATTTGTACTTGCCAGCTTCTTAAATCTCTCTAAAACACAACCTGTCACCGTCTGTACTTTGAAAAAGGCTTTCTCCTTATTTCCCTACTTCTATTAATGTTTCCTGTACCATCATATTCTTAGGTATCCTAGCCAAAACTTTGGAGTTTTTTTTTTTTTTTTTTCATTCATTCCTCTTCCTTAGTTCTCATGTCCAAAGGGTCAGCAAGTCCTACTGATGATATATTTGTTGCAGTTGTTGTTTTCGGTAAGTAATCTAGATCTATCACATCTTTCCTTTCTATTCTCCCCACCTTCACTATACTTTAGTTTTTTATTATCTTTATTTGGATTATTTCCACAGTCCTCTGTCTAGACTACCTACCACCACTTTCATTCCCTTCCTAGATAACCACACATAATATTCCTCTTTCTAAAATATCACTTTTGTCATTTAACTGTTTTCCTTAATGGCTCCTCACTGACTACTGAGTAAAGTACAGACTTCTAAATTTAACATTTACCCTTTGAGGCATAACTTCTCTCACCTGAATGAACCCAATTATCTTTTTTTCTTAAGTAGACTACTCTCTGTGTGCATTACATTCTAATTTTTCTGTTTATGCTAATACTTTTATCACTCCCTAATCACCTCTTGAGCACATAAAATCCTACTTATCCCTCAAAATTTACTCAAATGCCAACTGTTATGAATCTTTTCTGAATGTTCTAAGCTTTATTACTCTTACGGCCTTGCCACACAATGCAGCTTTTCTTACTATAATTATTTGGGCACATGACTTTTCCTTAAAATATGTAGGCCAAGTTTTATCTATCTTAATAACATGTGAACATAACAAAACATGCACACTGCAGTTGTTCAATATATATTTTGTGTTTTTGTTAGGGAAGTGGCTATAAAGTATTTACTGCTATACATGGTGAGAAATATGTACATATTATGATCCAGTATAAGTGAAACATTACTCAGTTTTATCACATACAGTTCACTTTGATATTTTTCATTTTGTTCTATTTCACTTGTTTAAGGGTAGTCGCAGAACACTAAATTGACTTAACAAGAGCCCAAACTGTGAAAATCTATTTTAGGGAATTTAGTGTTCTGTCTATAATTTTAAGATAATCCATTCATGATACAGTACTTGATTAGTCTGGTAAAATCATACTATGATGGACTATATTCTGCTATTGCTAAGTTTAGAGTACTGCTAAATGTGGGCTCCAGCCTTGCCCTTTCTGCATATAACCTTGTGCCAGCAGCAGGTGTAGCACTGTGTGAATTTTGTAATGTAGCAATGATGATTAGACTCACAGTAAGATAATTATATTTTTGGTTCTAAATGTCATATTCTTCCAAACCCAAAAGTTGTCAAACAAACAAAAGTAGGACTGATTTTAAACTGACTCAGCAATTCCTACTTAAAAGATAGCATCTCAAGAGATTTTATGAGTCAGACAAAATAATGAGCAAAAGCAGCAAGTTACAAAAGAGTACAAATTCTATAATTCTATTTATTATGAAATTCAATAAAAGGCAAAAATAATCTATGTTGTTATAAGTCAAAATATTGGTTCCAATGTAAAGGTGGGAAAGTGGTGGCTGACTGGGAAGGTGGCCTGAGGGAGCCTTTTGAGTGGTGATTCCACTTGAGATACATAATAAAAATTCATCAAATTGTACACTTCACATTTTTGTACTTTATTTTGTGTATATTAGATTTCAGTAACAATGTTTTCAAAAATAAATTAAGAAAGACAAGCCATCTTTATCAGTCAAAAAAAAGAAAACATATGAGTGAAAGACATGTATGCCTAACAGAATGACCCAGCCCTGTTGTTTGTGAAACTGAGATGGTTGGGGGGTAACCATAGTGGAATTTCCCACCCTCATAGACAGTTGGCATCTATAACTACAGACTGATTGACATACTTCAGATGGGGGACTAAGCTGCTTTTGAACTCAAAAAAGTAGGGAATTACACTGCAAAACAATCAGTAATTTTGTATTTGTTTTTGGTGAGCCACATAACAGTAATTGTGATTTTTATAATGTTTCTTCTAACGGTTACATTACCCATTAGTGAACGTGAAACCAAAGTTTTAATGAAATACAAGTGAATATTAAATAAGAATGCAATGTACATAGAAAAGGTAACTAATGCTTTGACAGGCTTTTGCTTCAGTTATATATGAAAGTATGGTGAAAAAGTACATTTTCTTATTGTGGACTCAAGTGAAAAAATACAATACAAAATTAATACAATTCTATTACACAACATTTTGATCTGAAGCCACGAATTGGAAATCATTGACATATCGGAATTATTGACATGTCTGGAATTATTGACTCTTGCACAATTGCCATTAGCACTTTGCTTTTCTGTCAAAGTATCACAGGTTAACACATTCTTTTTTTTTTTTAATCCCAACAACTTCCAAACTATAAAAACATTCTTATCTGCCCTAAAATTAATTGGTAAGGAGGAAATAAATTGCTAACTTGGAGCATGACAATCCATTTGCAGCTGCTAAAAAAGATTCGCTTGCTCACACAAAATACTCTAAATTGCCCACTTCATTGGCATGTTGTAAATTACCCAACTATCTTTGCCTTCCACATAAAAAATGAGCATGGCAGCTCTGAGAACTGTTTGGCAGTATAAAACAATGCTCCCTGCCATCAACATTAGGTAGATAAATACACAACACCTGAATCAGCAGAATGAAAACTCTGCTACTTGAATACAGCTTTAGTTCTCTTTGAATAAATGCTACAAAATTAGTTCTGATAAATCAGTGCTTCATGCTGGGAGAACTGGGTACTCTCCTGAGGGTTATAGAACAACCAGATCTTTGGGTGACTGCAATGGGCAACATGCTTAGCAGCAAAAGAGACTGCTTACAAAAGAGAACAAAGTGATTTGAAACATTAAAAAAAGTGACATGCATCATTTTTTAAATGAGCGGTCAGATTTATTTGCTCAATAAATTAATCATACACTTATATACTCTGTGTTTCTGGAATTTGAAATTATGTAATTAATAATAAACAGTATTCAAACTTCCTGTCAATAAAGGGTATCACCTGAAAACAGCAGAGCTCTAAATATGTCCAAGAAATAAATGTGCAATTTTTGTTTTTAAACTTGAACTAAAAGTTATTAAAAACATGTAATACATCTATTCTCCCGCTTGAATTTAGGGTTTCTAGCAGCATTCAAAGAACTTGACTGACCGTATTATTTATTTAAAAGTATCACTGAAAACAGAAACAAAAATAAAGAAATATCTAAGTTAATAAGACTATTAGCAATTCAGAAAGGGGATCATTAGAACAAAAAATGTTGAACACTTCCTGGAAAATAAAAAGAAAATGGGTATAACAAGGTTGTAAGATATAAGGTAAATATATAAAAATTAATTTTATTTTATATATAACCAAATAAATTTAAAATGAACAAATTTTTAACATGTACCATTAATTTTAATGGCAACAAAAAGTGTAAGGTAACTAGATTATTAAAATATAATAATTTAAAAATATGTAAAATATATTGACATCAAAGCAGATATAAATACATGAGAGCCATAACATGTTCACAGAAACTTAAATTTATAAAGATGTTGATTCTTCCCAAAACAACGTAAAAATTCAATAGAGCAAGATTTTTCATGGAACTCATATGGACAAGATAAGACTGAAGATTAGCCAAAGCGATATTTTAAAAGAATGGCAGGGGGTCTGGGAGGCAGTTTGGAGTGATGTCAAAGGACATAACATTTCCATAAGACAGCAGAGAAAACTTCAAGAGATATATTGTACAACACGGTGACTATAGTTAATAACAATGTATTGCATTTTGAAAATTGCTAGAGTAGATTTTAAGTGTTCTCACTATAAAAAAAGATAAATTATTTGAGGTAAAGCATATGTTAATTAGCTCAATTGAGCCATTCCACAATGTATACATATGTTGTACATAATAAACATATAAAAGTATTATTTGTCAATTAAAAGTAAGTAAATAAGATAAACAAGATAGGAGAACATCTTATCAGATATTAAGACTTATGGAGCCAAGAAACCACTAGAATAGAGTTCAGAAATTCCCAGGTAAATATGGTAATTTCATAAGGGATAAAGCTGGCATGAAAATAATTATTTCATCCCATTAAAATATAGATTTATATTTTTAATATTATGTTCATAAAAATTGATCAAAAGTTATGTCATATTTCTAATTTTATTGATTATGTACCAATAATAAGTATAATTATAATTCAATACAGGAGAAAATTTTAATTTATAAAGCCTTATAAACACAGGAAAATAAAACAAATCATTTTAATTCATTTAAAGTTTTTTTTTGCAGCAAAATGACAGGGTGATCATTTCCCAAGCATACAATTATGTGTTATCAGGATGAGATTCCAGGTCTATACGGAACAGAAATAAGAGCTAACAGAGAAAACGAAAGAAAAAGTTTTGAGAATAAAAGGATAATGCATGAATTTTCTTTGAAATAGATGGCTGTGGGTATAAAATACTGTAGTATATAGATTCTACTGGTAACATTTAAAAGAATTGTATAACAACAGGTTTCTTTTAAAAAAAAATATATATTTATATATCCAATGATTTTAATCACTGGAAACAAACAAAAGAAATCAACCAATGAAAAGTTGTTATAACTATATCATAAGACTAAGTCAATTTTAAGGTAAAAAACATTCGAATGGTCGATATAGAAACAGATCTGTGTATCTAGATAGAAATTTAGTATATGATAAAGTTTGCATTTCAAATCAATGGCAAAAATGTTTAAATTGTTTAAATTGTTTAAAATGTTTAAATTGTTAAATGTTTAAATTGTTTAAAAAAAGATGGGTTTTTAAACAAATGATGGTGGAACAAAAACAAGTGGTTTGCCTTGCATAAATAAGAATGAATTTTTTAGTTAATTAAACATACAAATTATATAGAACATAAATTAAGAAGGAGGTCCTTAAGAGGATAATACTACCAAAAATCCACATTGAAAAGGACTAAAATATTCAATAATATAAATGTCAAACTTCTATAGAACACATGATTGAAGCAAATAGACTTCACAATTCCATTTTATGTAAAGCACAAAAAGAAGCAAAACCAATCTACATTGTTAGAAGGTAAAAGAGTAGTTACCCAATTTTTTTGTAGGGGTACAGGGGTGTTACTAGCAATCAAAACGGAACCTGGGGGCAGGAGAGCATCTGGTAATGTACGTGTTTAATTTTATGTTTCTTGATCTGATGCTAATAAGGATGATTTAGACTATAAAATTTCATAGTATATACACACATTATATAGGTGCTTTTCTGTGTGTATATTATAGAGAGATAAAACAGATTAGAATGGACACATGCACACATGGTATCTATCTGTCTAGCTAGCTAGTTACAGCACGTATCTTCCACATATCAAATTGCCAATACTGGTAAACTTAGGTATGGGAGTAGCACAAGAAGCTGGTGAGAGAGGAGAATGAAGATCAGGATGAACTTTTACTTTTGATTTTAAAATGATTTGTATTTATATATTTATGCAAGAAACATGTATTATTGCTATTTTTAAGTGAAAAAAGCCTACACATATGACATAGAACATTCAAGACTTGTGACTTATATGTGTCAAAGCAATTCTATAGGGCATACTCTACCTGTGAATCTAATATATTGGAAATTTCATGTGCACCAACATTTACGTCATCCAACCGCAAGCAAAACAAGTTTCTGGCAACCTGGACAAAATCTAAAATGGAACACATTTAAGTAAGAACATAGCATTTAACCCCTTCTAAATCTTACTTTATTCTGTATGAAGTTGCTAATGTTTCAAATTTAACCTGCATAAATTATCTTAAAATAGTATTGACTGAAGTGATAGGTAAATGTAGTCCAAATAAGAAGAGACAAATTGGTCTGAACTTATTTCAGTTAACTTTGCTAAAATTAATAATTCGGTTAAGATAATAATAAAGCAAATATATAGCGTGGACCTATAGTTTTTCAACCCTTGTATTATAAGTAGAACTTTTTCTGAAACATATGATAATATTATGATTTATGGCTTTTCTAGCTGGAAGAACCTGAGGTTTGATAGCAATTATTAATAGCAGCAGCTAATGTTTATGTAACAGCTGCTGTATGCCAGGCACGGTGCTTAGCAATTTCATCCCCCCAACAGTCTTCTGAGGTAGGTCCTCTTATCCTGTCCATTTTACAGATGAAAAAAATTGAGGCTAAGACAGGTTAAATAGGAAAAAGAACAGTTCATAGGCTTCTTCTGACATGAAGAGTAACTTACTTATCTATGTATCCTCAAATATTTTCCACTTTGGCTACTGTATTTTTAATTTTCAAGGATTCTTTTAAATGTTCTCTGATTGTTCCTGTTTTACAACATTCTACTTTATTTCATGGTTGCATTACCTTCACTTATCTTTTTAAAGATGTTATGAGAGTTTGCCTGAATTTTTTGTTTTGTTTTGTTTTGTTTTTGAGATGAAGTCTCATTCTGTCACCCAGACTGGAGTGTGGTGGCACGATCGTGGCTCATTGCAACCTCCACTGCCCAGGTTCAAGCGATTCTCCTGCCTCAGCCTCCTGAGTAGCTGGGATTACAGGCATGCACCACCATGCCCAGCTGATTTTTGTATTTTTAGTAGAGACAGGGTTTCACCATATTGGCCAGGCTGGTCTTGAACTCCTGACCTCAGTTGACCCACCCATCTTGGCCTCCCAAAGTGCTGGGATTACAGGCATGAGTCACTGCTCCTGGCCTCCTACCTGAAATTCTCTTCTGTGCTTCTGTATTTCTTTTTTTCTAAGTTCCTTTATTCTGTTTGTCTGATAGTTTGGGGTTCTATACTTTATGTTGGAGGATTTCTCCAAATCTCTGGTGACTCTTGACTATGAGTTCATATTTAAGAATTGGGCACTAAAAAAGTTGGTTGGAAATTTTGTGTGTGTAACTTGCTTTGTCAATTGGCAGTTTTCACTACAGGGAAATCTGGTGGCCAGCTGACATTTTTGTTCACTTGTTCAGAGAGAATACTATTGTCTTCTGCCTATAGTAATAAACATGGCCGGCAAAGTTCTCTGAGCAATCTGGATGCATGTTACGAGTGATGACTCACTATATACTCCACAAACTCCCTTGCTGCTGGCAACTATGGGTCCACGATCTCTGGTTTAATTTCTCAAAGGAATATACTTCTTTTTCCCCGGAGGTGTAGCGTGGTAGATGCCGGACTACTTAAGAAAGGGCAGAAAAGAGCATGCATAATTCTCCTTATAAAGATTTCCAACAATTCTGTTTCAATATCCTGCCTAAAAACTCAGTCTCTAGAAGTACTTGATGTCTTCAATTCCTAAATCATTTTAGGGTCAAATCAACTTGTTCCTCATTGTGATTTTCCTCTATCTTCACACACTTGGGCTTTACCTACCTCTGCTCACAAATTTGTTTACTTTCCTCATCCATTTTCCTGTCCTTAGATACTGTGGTTTTAGTTGTATATGTTTTTCTGCTTCTTATTTTCATGATTATTTTGGGATGATTTTCAAGTGGAGATGGGATGAAAAATATCTTTTTATCATCACTTAAAAACCAAAAGGTCAATTTTCTTTTTAGCAATACAGATGCTTTATAAATGATACAATGTTACATCTACTATACAAGAAAAAATTAAATACTTAATAGTGACAAGAAGACAAAACGTGTTACATTCAAACATTACTGGTGGTAGAACAAATATATTGCAAAATATCTCTGAAAAACAATTTACCAGTATATATCAAAAGTCTAAACCATTTGTGAGGATTAGGCTTAAGAAAAGAAAGAAAAACAGCTACATTCACAATGATGATAAATACAGATTTGTAATATCAGCTACTAAGAAACAATCAAAATTCACAATAGTAGAAAGCCTTAATATTATAGTACAACAACTAAGTGGTACATTATGGTATCCTTAATAAGAATAGAGTTGATCCCTGAACAACATAGGCTTGAACTACACAAGTTCACTTATACATCAAGTTTTTTCAACCAAATGCATAAAAAACACAGTATTTGCCGGTTGCAGAAGCCACATATATGGAGGGTAAACTTTTACTATATGTGGGTTCTGCAGGGCTGTCTATGAGATTGAGTATGGCTGGATTTGGATATATGCAGGCGTCTTGGAAACAATTCCCCTCCCATAGCAAGGGATGACTGTAATTATGTAGCATCATAAATATATTTACTACATGATATTAGCTGAAAAAGGATTAGAAGGAACCTCACAGTAGTGAAATTAGAACTTCCATATTTTGTACTGTTTCTTTTGTTATTACTAAAGCAATGTTTATGCAGTAAATAAAAAATAAAAAGAATATGATAGAATGATGATAGTTTAGAGCTGTTTAGGTCCTAATAAAATTCTTTCTGCTGACCCTGACAGCTCAGTAATTCTAGCTGAGTTCTTGGGGTACTGATTAAGAAACTTGAAATGGATGTAGTTTTACTTTTCCTTCTCTCCTTCTAAAGAACTAACACTCTTAATGAAAATGTGTCACAATAACTCTTGAATGATGATTCGGTGATAATACAACACAGTAAACCTAATATTACCTCCAAAAGACACTGTCCCTTTTGAGTCTGCTTGTACTTGCTGTCTCAGGGCTTGGTGTTGTTCCTTTGTGGGCTGAATACCAAGATAATTTAGAGCCTGCAAGATAAAGAACTCATGAAAAGCAATTTTTCAAATCTCCAAAGAATAAAATTTTTCATTACAAACTTTACAACCCAGGGAAAATAATCAATACCAGAAAGAGTTCACCAGGATTAAACACCCTAGGGAAGTCGGCTGACTATGGATTAAGTGCCCATAAAATATTAGCTTCCTGATTTTACTACTACCTCACTTTTTCCCCAAGACTAGCACTTTGGCTAATACCAAATTTATGACATTATCCTTTAACCAAAAATCAAACTATTTCTTAGTTTGTATGATTTGGCAGAAGTAAAACGGCAAAAGAATCCTACCATATCAGATTTACAAGTGACACTCTAAAACATGAATTATATTTGGTTAATATCTTGTCTTTGAGAGCAAAACTGAAGTTGATAGGAATTAGATTCAACATAAAATCTTCTGATTTTTGGCTTGTTGGGGATTACACAAATACTAAACTAAAAAGCTTTCTCTGCCACTTACTTCTCTCTTTCATCAGGCTCGTCCCTTAAGGGAAAGCTCTTTCTCCTTTTGGTATCCATTAGTGATTAAAAATTCAGAGACTGTTAATTGTATTCCAATGTCCATTCTCTCCTTGCTCCTTAGTAACCGAACCAACCACAATTTCGGCTGAAAACACTGCCATGCAGCTAAAAGACATTTCCCAGCCCCTTGTACATCTCCACGCAGCCATGCCACTAACTAGGTACCAGCCAATGAGAGACAACGGGAAGTGCCATAGAGTACTACTAGGAAGTCTCCTTTCAAAAGTCAGGGTAAGCACTTCTTGTCTATTCGGATTAATAAGGGAGAAAGAAAGAGAAAGAAAAAAGATGAAAGGAAGGAAAGAAAGAGGGATTGATGGAATTTGAGCAGTTCTCTTGGTTCACGTGGTACCTCAGTAAAGATGGTGGAACAGAAAGATAATTGGAACATGGTCCCTGACACTCTGGAACCTCCACAGTAGCCCTGGATTACCTTCTTTCAGCTTCTTTTTGGTGTGAAAGAAATTTCTAAAGGAAACCACTGTTATTTTGAGTTCACTAGTTATACATAGCAAAATCTAATCTTAACTAACGCAAAGGGACTGATTGGATGTCCTATTATTGGATATGGCAAGAGCATATATAGTGTCGATCACATCAAAACTAAAATGTAGGCAAAGTTTAGTATTGGTAATTATCTCTTACATATTTCTTCCTCCTTTAGAATCTTGTTCAATCATTTAGTATTTCATTCATCAAATAATTTATTTGGTGCCTACTATTTGTTAGCCACTAAACTATGCATAGCTGATAGATAAATGAAATATAGTCTCTCACCCCAAAGAGTTTATGGTCTCTAGGGTGAGAACAACTGTAAAGAAATAAGTAAAACATGTAATTTAGTAGAAGTATGTATAGGGTACATTAATATACAAAGCAACTGATTAATTTGTAAGTGCACAATTTGGGAACAATGAAGAATGGAGGAATAATCTCAGGAAAGATTCTTTCAAAAATGATTCCTGAGCTTAGTGTAGCATCATCTGCTTATCTTGTCTTGCAGTCAAGTATTTGCATTGTATAACATGGCATAATGATTTTTACCTTCTGTATGTTTTTCTCTTCAGTTATAAAAATGTTTCAAATATAAACACAAAAAAGAATAATACAAAGAACACCCATATACTCACTATCATCAATTAGTCGTTAATATGTACTTAAAATTTATGTATATATTTTCAATAAATAAAACTATATATTTGGTTAAAAGTTTTTATAATTGTTCCTCAGCAGGAAGTACTATCCTAAGTATTCTTCCTAGTCCTAATTTAATGACGTTTACTATGTAAGCAAGTATCCCCCAATAATATTTACTATTATTTTGTGCACGTAAGGTTTCACATCAAGAGTATAATCTAAAAGAGTAACTCTACAAATTATTTTTATTTTTATCTCAATTTTGTGATTTCATAATTGTTCCATATTGTCTGCAAAACTAGTTCACTTATTTTAAACTGTGAATAGTAATCCATTGTATAAATTTATTGTAATTTATTATCCATTCCCTGATTAACAGGCTTTTATAACTACTCCAATTTGCTTTTTTAAAAATTACAGATTATACATGCCTCTTTGCATAAAAGTATGAAAATTTCTCTACATTATATCCCTAGAAAAGGAAGTGCTAAGCCACAGGGGACATATGGTCAATTTTATTAGATATTGTGGAATTGTTCTCCAAATTGGCTTCATCAATTTATGCACACCAGTAGTGAATAAGCATTCCTATTTTTCTACATTCTTAACAGCACCTGCTGTTTCCACTCTTTTATTTTGTCAGTGTTGTATATGAAATAGTATGTTGTTTGTTAATTTGAATTCCCCTAGTTACAAATGCAATTAAACATCATTTACATGTTTATTAGCAATGTTTTTGACTCATAAATTATTTAAAATATGTTTTAAATTTTCATACATGAGGTTTTAAGAAGTATCTTTACTGATTTTGAATTTGGTCTCTGTTTTCCAGCTGTGACACACAAAAATGTCTCCAGACATTGCCAAGTGTCCCAAGAAGAAACACTGCAGCTTTGCCCTTGAGAACCACTGCTCCAAAGACAATTGCTGTATTAACAATTGTATCTATTTTTTCAGGGTTTTTTCTATGAATATAGTACCTATAAATTTATATAAATTGTGAATTTTTTGCAAAAATTGTCACACTATATATGGTGCTAATAATTATTAATATATCATGTCATTCTATTCTGTACATTTTACAAACATTGCATGCTTTTTAAAATTGTCATAATTGTACACTGTTGAAATGAACTTTTTTTAAAGCATTCTCCTTCTGATAATCATTTAGAGTGCACACAATTTTTCACTATGGAACACAGTGCTACAAAGTGCTAGTGCTTTTTGCTTTATGCCAATGACTTCAGCAGCTGTAGGAATTATCTGAATTTTTAAAAAAATTATAAAATATTAATACAGCAGTTATAGAAAATACTATAATAAAGTAATAGATATCTACTATCTTGCTTCATTAAAGCTTAGCACTCAACTATATTTACTTCAGTTTTTGAATGTAACCAAAACATTATAAAAACCCCTTTTGAACTTATTCCCAGAGGTAAGACTTATCATATATTTGATTTAATATTCCCATGAATTTTTTATTATATAATATTTGGTATATACTAAAAGCATATATGTAAAAAAACATGAGTTTTAAAGTAGGACAGTAACACACGTATGAATCCACTTAAGCAGCATAAAACTGTGAACACTGTTGAATTCATACCACAATATGGATATGGTATTTCACCAGAGGTAACCATACTAATGAATTCTGAACTATTGATTTCTTCTTTATCATTCTTGATCTGTTTATTTTAAAACGGTTTCTCACATACATATGTATTCCTAACATGTTATTTTGTTTTACCGGTTTTTTAGCTTCATAAAAATGCTGCAGATGGTTTTCCAAAGCTTGCTTTTTTTCACTCTACAGTAAGGTTTACTACATATTTCAAATCAGAAAGTGTGAGTTCAACTTTTTTCTTTATTAATTTTTAATTTCAATAGCTTTTGCGATATAGGTAGTTTTTGATTATATAGATGAATTGTATTAATGGTGAAGTCTGAGACTTTAGTTTACCTATTTACCCAAGTAGTGTTCACTGTACTCAATATGTAGTTTTTTATTCCTGCCCCACACACCATCCCCCTTCTGAGTCTCCAAAGTCCATTATTTCACTTCCTTTATGCTTGCCTTATGATACCCAGGGGACGTACTCTAGTTTCTTGCGTGATAGGAAGGGCCATAGGGTTCCCACAAGTTTCTGTCCTTTGTGTTAAGCTACCAGAGTGGGTGGAGGGGCAAAGCCAGGTGGGAGCTGGGTCAGGCAAGTCTGTGTTCTGACTCCACCTGAAGGACAAGCAGTGGCCCTTGTGGGGTTTAGTGAGTAGTTCTCTGGCCACCGGCAGTAATGTTCTAGGTTAAGAGCATAGTTGCCTCTGCTGTACAGAAGAGTTCACACAGGGAGTAGAGAGTAGCAGATGGCAGTAAGCCTCACCTAGCTCCCATGCACTTGGCAACGCAGGTCTCTCACTTGCAGAGTTGGCTAGAAGCAGCTAGCTAAATTCCAGCTAGCTAAACTCACAACTGCCCCAGGTCATAAGCCTTTCACATAGACAGGAACCCTAGGCTTTCAGGCCACACCCTTTCCAGTCTACTTGCAAAGCCAGGGTGCCCAAGCTCCTCTGCCTGAGGCCGCAGCATACTTCCCACTTGCCCCCTGGTTCTGGACAAGAGAGTTCATCCCCATTTGAGATTAAATCGTGAATTTCAGTTGGGAGCTTCTCTCAACCTGCAACCGCTGCCTGACTTAGTTGGCTGACTTCCACGAAGTCCCCTGTAATGTAGGATCAGGAATGGCTTCCTTCGGTCCACGTTGGAGGCTGCAAATGCACGCTATGCTCTTCCCACTGCCCCCTATATTAGTTCCAGTGCTGGGTAGGGTTAATGCCTTCTCCTGTGAGCTACACTACCAGGTTCCCCAGTGGGGGTGTATATCTCTACCCATCTTACACTCTTGGGACTTAGTTTTTTGGCTGGCTCATGGTGTAGGCTGCAGCCTCCTGCTTCTTTCAAAGGGTTTTGGGGTTTTATTCCATTTTCCTTTAAGCTCCTACATTGCTTCTTGGGAAAAGGTTCACAGTGTGAATATCGATACACTATTTTGTCTTTCCAAGGAGGACAGACATGCTAATACCACTCTAATCTATCATCTTGGGAAAAAAACAAAAACAAAAAACTTCTTTTTCATGACTGTTTCAGCTACTTTGGGTCTTTTGCATTTCCATACAAATGGATCCATCTTTTTTTGCATTTCCTACAAATGGATAGGGTCACCTTATCCATTTCTGAAAAATAGCCAGCTGATATTTTGATAAAGATTGCATTAAATCTGTATATCAACGTGGGGAGTATTGCAATCTTAA